TCCTATCGAGTAGTTTCGCGTAATTTTAGCGGAACAATCACTAGTCGTCAGCTTTTGTAGTAGATGATTCAGCAGCGAGAGGTTATTGTCTTTCCCGAACGAGAAACGAAGGACCCGCGTGTTGTGGTGATGAACGCGATACTCCCCGGAAAGGGCTATAGTGCGTTCGTTCCCCACCACACACACCTGCGGTCCGATGTTTTGCAAATATCTCGGCATCATTGAAGTTATTGTCTTTCTTTTCTCTTATTTTCGTTTCTCTTTTCAAATTATCTACATGTTCCTTTTTCCACGAGGTGTTTTTAAATGCTGTCATTCATTTTGAAACGTCATGGGTAGCTCTTGTAGTCGAATAAAAATCAAACGACTTTAGTTAATGCATAAGTTTTTCTCTTCTTTTCTGATTTTCCAAGACATTCCTCTATAACCTACCTTCTCATTCAGCTGCCACACAGAATTAAAAGATTGCAAACCTACTAGTATTTCTTAGATATTCGAACATTTTTATTTTTCAATAACAATATCCGTTTCGCTAGTTTAACTTTCTTTAAAGTTTTTCGGAATTTTTTGACCATTGAGGAGCGCCTGAGAAATTGCTACTTTGTTCAAATTTCTGAAATCGGCAAATTGAGCAGGGAGATTCGTTGCGCTCGGTGTTGCATTGAGATCACTAGTTAATTTCTGACTGTTTGTTGGCTTTTGATGTGCCAGTGGTAGTTATGCGGATTGCGTTGATCATCTCGAGATAATGATGTGATGATGGTCAAGATATGATGGTGTTGGTGATGATGATGATGACGGTGACGATAGTGGTGATGGTGGTGACGATTGATGTGACGATGAATGATGATAATATCTATTGCAGATGAACCGTAAGGTGACCGCATGTGGATTCCTCTACGTAGCACCACCGAATCTCGACTTCTCATTACAATCGCATTCAGCCAAGGTAAGCAAACTACTTGTATGTTGTACTCTTGACGTCGTGTTAAGTAGTAGCGGTTCAGCAAAGTTATAAGCAGTGGCAAAATTTTAGGTGTTTACTCTTCTTTTTGCACAACGTTGTTTTTTCTTCGCTTATTTTCTCTTTTTGGTCTGTTAATGACTGGATTTCGATTCTCTATTTCTTTTCCCTTTTTTTCTTTTCTTATTTCCTCTTTCTAATATGTTTTCCTACTTTCTCCTGATAACATTTTGTTCAGTTTCCAGCGGATTCCCTATGGTTTCTTTTCGTTAGAGAAAATCGGGCGCATTTTTTCATCTCGAAGTTTCTTCTTGTTGTTTTGGTGTACATGCTTTCTGTTTCTCCAGTTTTCTCCTTTTTTTTCCTTTTCTTTCTTTGTTTCCAGTGATTGTTCTTGTGCAACCTTTTGCAGATAATAGAACCAAATAATGTGTTTACCATCGCAATATTTCAAAATGTATACTGGCTAGTCCGTTCTCTTTCAATTCTTTCCAGATTTGTTTATTGAGTATTTATCTTTTGTTTACACCAAAATTAAGAAGGTAGTTTTCTTTCCGAGTTATCCAATCACTAATTCTCGTCGAGGTGTGCGTTACCGGCGCCCCAAGAATGCGACGTAGCCCATTATGTTTGACGAAGACGGGTAGTGCATGTTGTTTGATTAATTTCGTTATTTTTTCTGCGGGTCATCTGAGTCTAAAAACGGAAGGACTACATATTTCGAAACTTCGAGTGAGGATGCCTCATTCGAGAAGATGGCTCGCTGAGGAAGATCTGGCTCGACAGGAAGGCGAAGACGCAACGTCGAGGCGAACAACAAGCATGGACCATCGACTCGGATCGCCGGCTCTGAGGAAGACGAAGACGTCGAAACGTTAGCCGAAAATAAATATATTTATCAACCTCGTGTAAGCTTATCAAGAAAGAATACATACGGAATGACTACAGTTGGAACGAAAGATGACTGTCAAATCGATGTTTTCTATTCCTCATCCATATTTTTGAAATTTTTCAGTTTCATACTTTCTTCTGCTCATCTGAACGTTGTTGATTTTATTGGAGATTTCTGGCTACAATGAATTTCAGCGTCCACACAACTGCGCTAACATAACAGAGTCCTATATCCTTTTTTCCGATTCATCTCTTTTTCTCCTTTTTTTTACATTTCTTTTCGAAGCTTTGCATGACTTTTAACTAAGTAAGACATATTTAGAGTTTTTTTCGATTAGTTCGTGTGTTTTTTCATTCGTTACTTCTTGGTATCTCTCCATATTTCCAGCGCTGGCAACGACGATGGTTCACATTGTTCGATTCGGGAGAGTTAACATGGGCGTTGGATAACAATGTATGTGATTTCTTCATTCATATGGACGAATCGTGTTTCTGCCTCCTTTTATGAGCCGCTTCAAATGATTGGTGCTTTGGCAGTATCCAGTTTTTCTGAAAATCTTGCAACAATGATGTTTCTATGGGCCGTCAACTAGGCAGAAAAGGGGTGAAGGAAATTGGAACCAGCTATTCCAGGGTTTCGCATATAGTTGGGAGTTGTGACTGTGTTGTGTCTGGTGAGACAAGTCTATTAAAGCCATGACTTAATTTTAACTTATCCACATTCTGCACTTATTCTATTCTATTCACCTTTTAAACTCGTCAGAAAGTAATGTGGGTGGAGATGTTTCAACTGAGATAGTTTTGAATCGCAAGCTTTGATGAGAATACAGAAGGTTTACACTTTTGAGGGGTTCATTCCGGCCTTATTGAGTTATACGGTAGTTATTTTCATAATAAAATATAGCGTAAAAACTGAACAATTTGACAACTACATTGTACTCTTATCTTGAGGTACTGAAATCTTCTTCAAATAGTTCGTAAAGGTTCCAGTTACGGAATTTTTTAGAAGTGTTTCACCAAGAAATACTGCCAGTCGTTCAAAGTACTGCTTAGTAACCTTATACATAATTTATCTTGTAGCGAAAAGGAAAGGAAAAAACTTAATCCCGAAAAAACTTGATAGGATAATAGTTGTTCCTGCACCAAGTTACGCCGACTATTCGACCCACTTCCTTGTTTATCTGTAGGACATCTGGCGTAAGAAGTAGATAAAAAATCTGTAGAAGTGACCACACAAACAATGAGATATAATCTGGTGCATAGTTGTTTTCTATTCTATTCTTATTTATAAGTAGTTGAGAAAAGTTCGTCGAGTAGTCATTGATCATTGATGGTGCTGGTGAGAATCCACTTTTTGGGACACGGAGATCGACAGAGTGACTATTTATAGAGAGATCTACAAAATGCCATTAGTTTGCTGAGGTATATCTCTGAAAGAAGAAATTATAAAAAACGTGAGCGAATTAGACAAAAGTTTCATGAATAGATTTATATTTACTATGGTAATGGCGTATTTCACCTTTCACCTCTCTATTTGCCAGATTCTATATTTTCTTTAGGATATCGGATTTCGCTTAATTGGAGATGATGGTTTCTAAGCAGATGAAGGCTTTGGGTCTGAACATCTAGTTGGCATTGATGGTTTATTGTTGTTCAACGGTTGTTGGCGCTCACTCAAACCGATTATGGTAGTTCAGCGGGGCGATTTAGAACTGGTTAGGGCTCACTTATCACCTAGAATAGCCAATACTAACGCCACCACCATTATTAAGGGACCGGCTGATTCTCATCGTGGGACCTCCTACTTGCTTTTTTTGCGCATGCAAGAGATAGTTCATTCCTCACTGTTTGTTGTTAAGTTTCAGTGCTATGGATTTCAAAATAAAAGATATCATCCACTGTTCTTGCTGATGGCAGGATTGGATAGGAAACTAGCTGAGAGAAACGCAAAACAAGGGCCTCAGTGGTGTAGTATGTAATACGTGAGACCCCAGAAAGGGTTATCGTAGTTCGATCAGTCCCGGGGTCCAAGTTTTGCGAATATCTCGGCATCGTTGTGGTTCTATAGTAGTCGAAATTTGAGATAAGGAATGAAGGTCAGGGCTTATGAAATGAGCAAGGAAAGGAGCAGAAGATAAATAGTGATGAAAATGAAGATGAAAAAACAAGAAATGAAAAGAAAGGACGGAAAACCACGAAACATGGTGGTATAGATAAGGCAGTAGGCTGATGCAATGAAATATTGTGAGATCTAACTTAGAAAGAGTAAGCGAAGGAGTTGCTGAAAAAAAAACTAATTTTGACTACAGAGTCCCAGTTGGTAAGCTTCCTGCTTAAATTAGTTTATTTTCATGGTTAGCAGTCTTTATTTCATGTTTAGATCCTAAATCCTCATTCATATAACTGATTTTTAGCCGGATACCGTACCACAGTTGACAATCGACATGACGCTCTGTCATCGTGTTTGTGAGGCCGACTCAATAACTGGTGAGGTTGATGCTTGGATTAGCGAACTTTATGTCATTAACTCCAGTCGACACTGAACTATGTCAGTTTCCTTCTTTACATTGACATTTTTTCCAGGAAACTCACATTCGATTCTGATGGCGTTCAAAACTGACGGCGTTGAAACATCACAACCGTCGATTGTTTACGTGAAAGCGGACACCACGGACGAGATACGTTGGTATGTCAGGAAAAATAGAACTACAGCATATCAGTGATGAGGTGATTGTAACGCAGTAGTTAGAGATGCTTTGTAATGTACACATGGTCCATGTTTCAACTCCGCGTTTTGGACAAACCACGCTGTCCATTTGTCTCGAGTCGGAAAATTCAAACCATACTCGATATCGGTAGGCTGTCGTAAGTTACTGTATAGGCTAGGTAAGCATTCAATCCTCTCTACAGTGCTACGAATTCATGACGCATTTCTACGCGATAGGTCGACTCCGAACCCTTTATTCTTTTTATATTAATGCTATGATGCCGCACTTACCATTCCTAGTGGTAATCGAACTTTCGAACGCAGGCTCTTTGACGTTGCCCACATTAACGAGAATTAGGTGGAGAACACGTTAACTCCTTTATTACCTTCTGCTTAACTCGATGTGTGGTGTGTTGCAGGTGGCAGAACTTGTTGAATATGTACGCGAAGGATAACATGATTCAAGTGAAACCTCGATGGCAGAATACCGCTGAAGAGAAGTATGAACCGATTGCGGTGAGTGGCAGTGATGTTACGGTGATCATCTCGTTTCAGTTTTCGTTAGCATTTTTTTTCATTAAACAATATCTACTGAAAGCATTACAATTACTTATGAAGCTAACTGTCATCACAGGTCTTCCACGTTTTTTTTCTTCTAGGTTTGTAGGATTTCTATATCATTTTTATTGTGAAAAAGTACAAATTTGGGCTGATAACACATTGTTGGTGAGAAAACGGGAAGCTCAAGGAACAGTTTAGCTTGACTGCTATGTAATCATTGGTATCACTGGTTTTTTCAGCTTGTTTAAATATGATTTCATGCTCGAGGAATTTGAGAACATGCTTGTAAAATAACAAATGAAAACTGGTAGTAATAGGGGAGTACTACAGCTTGTTTCAATGCCTTTCTATCTACAGGATGAAGAGGAAAGGAGGATTTAAGTTTAAAAAATTGAAGTGGAAGGCTAAAGTGTTTCAATGTGAAACGAGTGCTATCTATTAAATCAACAAGTGGTGTGGAAAAAACGGAACATTCTTTTGATAGAAGAATTGCGATGATTTTGCACCCTTCTTTTCTTTATATAGCCATCTACCGTAGTCGGATCTGTGCTCGACCTTTAAAGGAATTTAGCGGTTGTGTGTGCGAAGGTGACTGGAACCGCATTGGAGCCGAACCGTTAACTAAATTGATTCCTCACGCGTGGCTGGATTCGTTGACCATTTTAGGAACCGGCCACGTTTTTCCGACAGCGTCGACGTCTGCGATCCGCTTATGAACGTGTTTCTTATGGTTTTCGATTATCTAAACTATTAAATTATCGATATGTCATGTTTTCCTAATGTATAAGTCTTGAAAACATTAGTTATTTGAAAACTTTTATACTTGCTTTAAATGTGAAGTTCATTTCAAAACACAAAGTTGATAGATGCAGTTGCTCGTAAAACACTGCTTAGTGGTTTATTAGTTTCGTGTTACTGTTTGTATGTTTGATTTGCCTTCTTGTGCATTCAGGTGATATCACCCGAACCAGACATGGCGGAACTGTCAGCTTGCTCGTCTCGTTGTTCGTCGCTGGATCGACTGGAAGCGGAGCGCACCGGTGGTGGTGGTGGTAGCCAACTTGAGACACGCGTCGAACCCTCCTGTACCACAAAGACCGGAACTCATGGAACACCCAGGAGTGTGAAGCAAAGAGATCGAAACTCGAGGTGCTAATTTCCAGAGATTTTCGGTCTCTGTTCAAATCATTTAAGACCTAATTTATTTGTTTCCTTTCTGCTGTTCGATTTTTATATTTCAATTCATTTTTTTGCTATAATCAGTCGGCCGTCGACTAACCTTCCTTGGCTGCATTACTCTAATTAATCTTTTTCTTTTCGCTTACCCTCTGTTCTTTCTATTCGAAAGATTATTTGCATTGTAAACATTTTTTTCAGTTTTTAATGAACTCAGTTTGGACCAGTAAAATTCTCATAGCTCCCTGTCGTTTACCAGATCTGCCCAGTGGGCTTCTCTTACGTGGAAGATACGAAGAGCTTCAGATTTCTAATATGAGGCCTTTCTACTTTTTAATGGGAAGTTACTCTCAGTAGCTACCCAGTATTTGTTTTGGGACGTCGATGTATCAAGGGTAGCTTGTTATTCTATTCTGAAATAGAGATCTAATCTGTGTTACCTACACCGATTTATTTAGCGCATGTCCTTTTTAGGAATACAGTTTCTACAAGTTTGTTTTCTTACTGGGTGCGGGAATCTGTTGAAAAAATAACTCGATTTATTAGCGGAATCTTTCCAATTTTATTCCATTTTTTTTATTCAGGGAGGAACCATTAAAGCGTTGCGAATCCTCGTTATCTACAAACACACCGATGGCAACCATCAGTACCAGTTGTCCAGTGATAGCACGGTTCGTACTAGGTTGTTCCCTAAGAAAGTGATGGAAACTTTCGTCTGCTGTATTCATTTTTTCCGAGAAGAAATCCTTTGGAAGAAAAAAATGAAGCAGTTTCTTTAAGGACCTATCGACAAGTTTTTTATTGATTACAATAGTAGTTCAGCTCCTTTGTGAGTATGCTCGTTTACGTTCGGCTAAAATTCTCTTTCATATTTGTGGACCCGATCTATTTTAACGAGGGAAGCTGAACCAACCGTACAAAACAAGCGTATTGATCGCCGCTCTCCTCCGTTTATAGGAATGGGTTGTGCCGCTAATATCGTTTAAGCAGGGAAAAATCTGTGAAAAAGATGCATATTGATCACCTCATTGTTTGCATCTGTTCTGGTTGTAAAAAGATGAATTAGTTTTCTTGTCAATACTGAGAAGGATGGTATACCTTGTTTTTCTTTTAACGTAAAATTAGTGAAAAAATTTAAGAAATGGGGAATATCGGCCAGTGAATAGCATCATATATTCGAAAAAATATTGAGTCTCAAAAGCATAATCGCTTAAAAAACAATTGGGACGGTAGCACGGCTATGGATGTCTTTTTGCAAAATGCACCATTTCATTTGAATTGGCATGAAATTGAAAATGTTCATTATATTTTTTTAGTCGTCTATTTAAATTCTGAATGCTTATTGTTTCCGAAAACAACGTCATAAAGGTTAAGTTTTATTTATTCGTCTTTCCCTTCCTTTAGTAATGACGTGCACGAGGATGAGGACGGCGACACACAACCGGTCCTAGGCGTTTTCCGTTCTATACGAGTCTGTGCTCGTCTAAATGCCAACGACATTCATTCCAACGACCGGTCTCTATGAGGTTTTATCGGCTTGTCCTTCATTCCTCGTTCGAATACGTCTCTGGTCACTCGTCCTCGCAATCGTTGGTGTTGGCGACCTTTGCCGTCTCAGTAGTTCAGCAACAAGTTGTCTTTTCATCGCTTAGCTCTAACACCATGACTACACACGAGTTTGTTGACACAACAAGTTCAGACTATAGACGTCATTTTAGCTGCGATCGTCTAATAATAATACTAACAGTGTTTTCTGTTCCCACTAGAACGACGCTGTCCCTGACTACTTTTCTTTATTTGAGCGCTTGTCATTGGAACTGAACAGTTCGATCAGTTTTTTGTGAGAAATTAGAAACAGATGGAAATTCGTGAAGATTTGGACCACTCTACCTTTTCTTTCTCGAGACAGGCAAAAATGAGTACCGTTAAGGTTTCGATTCATCTCTGTATTCGTCCGAAGACGGATTCTATGCGGAGAGGACTCACCAACACCATTGAAAAGAGTCCCGTAAAAAGTTCCTTCATGAGCATGATATGTAAAAAAAACACTAACTTCTTGTACAAAGCTCCAATTTTTTCGGTTTTCTTGGAAATTTGTTCATATTCGGATTATTTGGATTTCCTTCACTATGTGTTTGGACTTGGTTTTTTTTTAATTTGTAGAACAAAAAAGGGCGGTAACCATTTCTTGTAACAAATCTGATCTGTGCCCACTCACATCCACACATATCCAAACGAGACATAGGCGCATTGTTGTTTTTGAGGGAAATTCAAATTTCTGTACGTACATGAATGAACCGATGTTTTTACATCAAGGTGGCAGTCATTAATTTGACGGGCAAATACTGATTTTTGGCGAACAAAAATTCCTTTACAACCTTTGCAATCATTTAAACTTCGAAAACGTTGGGAATTTTAATCGAATCGTTAGCAACCTGTTTAGACATTCTTTGAAAAAGTTCCTTTAGCGGTGTGTTCGTCCTCGTGAATCCACGCATTGAACTTACATGATCGGATTTTTTCAGGACCGTCACGTCCCCGCCGTTGTCTCGTTCCCGCCTCTCGTCAGTTTCTGTCGATTCGACTGCACTTCTAACCACCCAACCCACACCATTGCTACTTCAAAGCGAAGAGAAGAAGAATTACGATCAGGTTGAAGTTTCATTGTGGATCAAAGGAGTTTTCGTCTACTGGTAGAAATTTAGTTACAAATATTCGTTCGTTACACAAGTGCACGCAAAATTGAAAGTTTGTATTGGATCGTTCAAGTTTAGCATACTGTGTTCCTACAGTAACCGCTATGTGGTTAATTGTGCCGTTATGCTGTATGATTTTAGGCTTGTCATATCGACACATCCATGGCGCACACACTACGAAAGGGTTGGTTAATGCTTCGAGGCAAAACCGACAATGAATGGCAGAATCACTGGGTGGTATTGGCCGGGCTCAGTCTGAAACTCTACAAGTGATTACTCCTCTAGTGCTTCTTTCTGTTTTCATTGTTTAAACTCTTAGGAACAAATCTGTTTTTCAAATTTGACTTTAAATCTGTTTATATGCTTCGACGCTACAGGGCTTTTTCTTCGGTTTTGTTTACGTTTACGTTTTCACTTATTTATTTTCATCTAACCTTCAATTCTCATATTCTTTGGTTCAGCAAGAGTCTGGGATATTACAGAATAAAACTGTAAACAAGTAAAGGAGATAGTGTTCAGATTTTGAATGGTATCGTTTCCAAGGGCGCATGGAGCGCAGTAGTTAGGAGCGCCCTGCAACACACATGGGATCGGTCGTGCAGCATGCTCATCAATTCTCCGGGGTCAGCAAATTGGTACCAGACCAGTCTGAGAGGATAGTAGCATTGGCTCGATACATCGGTAGGCCACCGCGAGTCATTGTATGTCAAACAAAGAATGCATGGCGCATTCTTCAGGGATTGGTCAACGCCGAGAGCTTTATCCTTTTATTCTTTTTAAGTCACTTATCTTTTATGCCTGTTTCTTTCATTATTTTGCATCTGTTTCTGTTTCTCATGTAGTTTTACGTGTTGTTTTTACGCGTTGTATCCAAGGTATTAAATGATTTTGGGCTTCCATATAGGAGGAAGTTGCCGACGTAGTGGTTATCCTCTTTAGTCAAGTTTCAGCACCACTTTTTTGGGGGACTTCCAGTTGCATTTCCTCGTCCGTAATGAATAAAACGCTGTTTTGTCGTCGTGTATTGGCTTCTGTTAATCTCTAGAAAACAGTCCACGACAAAGTTTAGAAATTTTTTGTTTGATTTTGTTTTCCGCCAAGGTGAGGGTCAGTACAGTAAAATGCTAAAGCTAAAATTACGTCTTTTATAAGTTTTATTTATAAAAATGTTATTGCTAGTTCAAAATAAGTGCGACGTTATATTAACAAAACTATAACTTCATTTATTAAATGTGAAGGAGTTATAAGTCGAAGAAATGATCAATGAGAACCAGTAATTCTTCTTGGGTTTTCTTCTTCGTTTTTGTTGTTTTCACCTATTTTACTTTGTTTTCTTTTCGTTTCTAGTTTCCTTTCACTTACGATTTCATTTTCAGAGACGTTTGGGCTGAAGACTCGACGGAACCACTGATTGCAATTGATCTGGCGGAATGCGAGAATGTTTATCCGTCGGCGAGCGCAAAAAACTACGGTATTGAGATTAAAGTAAGATTTTAAGTGTAACTGAAAAGACCGACTTTCTACAAATCTCGGCATAAATAGTTGATATATTTGTTTATGTGATCTTATAAACTGATCTTCTTTAGCTGATACGAGATTGGCATAGGTCTTCGCTGTCGTGGTCGTTGTTGTTGTTGGTCGATGGCTGACGTTTTGGCGATTTCGCCTTCCTCAGAGCCGTGATGTTACGAGTGGAACTCGTCACTCCATCGAAACGTCAGCCATCGACCAACATGAACAACAGCAACAACAACAACAACAACGAGAACGACAGCGAAGACCTGTACCAACCTCGCATCAACTTAAGAAAATCGGTTTATAAGACCATATAAATAAATATTTTATGTGTATTCTGAAAAATCCATTGGTCTTCCGTCTAGGTGACACATTGGCTGAAAAGCCGTCGTTTGCTAATAGGTATTTGTTGTGCTTCAGTTTTTTTTATCATGTGGAACTATGCTAGGTGTTATTCCACATAGTATTTATGAAACCGACATACTGCGGTAGAATATTTACCGAAAACACATGGAAAGAAATGAGCCACAAAGAGTTTATGAAGAGAGCATTATATAGACCTGAGAAGAAGCCTATCAATCGTATTTTTTTAAAAAGTGTTGTTTTAAAATTTGGTTTTGTATTTTGTATAATTTCATAAGAATCTTGTGTTTAATATCTAATTTGTATTTTTAATATCGTAATTTTTTAAGTGATTGTTTTGGGTTTATTGGAAACAGTTCTTGTCTACGAAGTGAGCTTGACTAACTTGCATAGCTGTTAATTATGTGATTATCGACCAATTTTTTTTCGATTAAGGGTTTTGATTAATTAAAATGGTGATGTAAGTCAGCTTTTTGAACTGCTTCTCTGTCTATGGAGCTGAATTTAAAAACAGTGATGATAAATAAAGGAAAATTGCAGATGACAGTAAATAGATTGGGAGATTGTTGTTAATCAGATGGTTGATTAAAAGTTTTTAAGAAACCATAAGTAGACATATTGTGTTGCATTCGGTCACATTCTTCGCAAAATAAATAATCGTTTAGGTAGTAAGTGCGCCTACAACAATGAAATACGTTTTAGCCACTAGAACTAATATTTGGATACTTGGACGGCCCGTCCTCACTAGTTGTGCGTGCCCCAGCATAATCTCCATTTTTCGGAGTTTTGCTGGTTTAGCCATTGTGTTCCTCTGGAGTCTCGAGGTCAGCCTGCCCAAGGTTGCCCCTGCTCGTCACCACCACACGTGATCACCGCCCTTCTGGATCAGAAGAATATTTACCACTATGCGACTAGTTTGTTACCAGGGTGGTGATGGCTCCTGGAATTGCTTTACTGTTAGCTGAACTTCTTGATGGAAGCACTGAACTCCTTTTCAGCTTGGGATGCCTTGCTGGGGGAATGATTCCCTGCACTGTACATCGCAACATCGCAACCTGACAGCCAGGAGCTCCTTCCCAGCAACAATGAGGCGCTAAACCGTTGGGAGGAGTACTAATAATCATGTTAATTGCAATAACAATAATAAAAGTATTATTAGTAATTCCAGATCCAAATGGTGATCTATCTGCCCAGTGAGTAATGAATTTCCGAAATCGTTATCAAATAGTTCATAAAAACGCCATTAATGGACGTGGTTAGCGGATTGGTTGCTAACTGCTAACAACCTGTCAGTGCTCGAAATCTGTGTCGGACCCGCTACTAGGCTTTCTAGAGCCGGCATTCATCACGAAATACTACGTAGCACTTATGGGGCTCGTGTAGCGTAGTGAAAGACGTTCTCTGGTATGCACACATGGTCGTTGGCGACGTCGCATAACGGTCAACTTGTCAACTAAAGAAACAATTAATTAGATAGCATTTGTGATGTTCAGTAAGTAATCTATGAGTTAAAGCAGAACAAAAGAAAAGGCATTACAGTGTCGTCGTACCCGCTACGTGCTGTCGGCGATGACTCCAGGTATTCGAGATAGCTGGATTGCAGCATTGCTACAGAACAGGCAAGATTATCGCTTGGTTTATTGATCAGGCTGTTTCACTCCATTTCGTAATTATTTTATTAGTCACAGGGGTGCTGAGATATTTGCAAAATTCGGAACCCCAAGCGCATCTTCGAACTCGTGACTACTCTTAGCGGCTGCACCACTGGGTCCCCTGCTTTGTCGTTCTCTCAGCCAGTTTTTTATCCTACCGTGCCATAAGCAATTACCCATCAACGGAGAAATTATCTGGAAGCGCAAATCGCTATTGAACCCATCTAAGTTGAGGCGGCACTCGAAATCAGAATGTTTAACTTTTTATTCACCGCATATTATTTTTTCAAAGCAGCGTATTATCTGAAATACAGCCACGATGTTACTCAAATAAATGGAAAAGTTGGAATCCCAGGGCAGTTTCGAACCTGTGATTGGTTTTCCGGGTGCTCACGTGTTACCCACTGCATCACTGAGGCCCTTCCTTTCTTCTTTCTCTACGTCAGTTTCTTACCCTGATTTTATTGACCGTATTATGACTTGTCAAAGTAGGCTTATTTAAAGAAAATAAAATCTGGAATCTATTCGAAACTTTTGTCCAAAGAGATTCTGGAAAGGGAAAGATGGAAGCCCAGGGCATTGCCGTGAGATGCCACTTCAACACGCGATGATGTCTGGTTGGATCGCGAACTGCTGCTAGCCAGGCTAACTCTTATTGGAGGCACACTCTTCATCCGGGGTTGTTTACTCGTATAGCTGTTTGAATGCATCTCTGACCTTTAGAATGACTTGCATGGGGTAACCATTATATTTCCTTTTCATCTTCTCTAATATGTTTGGTACCAATTTGCCGAAAGCGAGCTTGGTCAGGCCAAAATTGGGATAGGGCCGACAATTATGTGTGTTTCAGGGCACTGTGTTTCTATTCACCGCACTATATTTGCCATATATTATTGTTATCCAGTTTTCTCTTTTCTGTTCCAGATACCGTTTTTAAGACGTTTAACTTTGTTATTTCTAGGGGAGAAATAAAGTGATTCATTATTTCATCCTCCAGTATTCAGTATATGTCTCCAATATGATTAAAAGCTAAAAAACTCTCGGCTTTGATCAATTCCCGAGGGATGTGCCATGCATTTGACTTCATTAAGAATCGTTGGAGGTGATTGAATGTATATCTGGCCTCTACAATGACTCGCGGTGGCCTACCAATGCATCGCGCCAGTGCTGCTATCCTTCCAGGCAAATCTGGTGCCAATTTGCCGATTCCGGAGGGATGGAAGGCGTGGTGAGCCTGGGGCGCGGGGATCGATCCCATGTGTGTGTCGCAGTGGCGCCTCCAACCACTGCGCCACGCGCGCCCTTCCAATATGATTATTCTTCCATTTTTTTGTAACGTGTTCATATCTTCTTTTATAATTTTTGCAATCCGAATTTAAAACTTTTCAGGCACAACCCTTCTCCGACGTATGCAGAGACATGTGCTTCGAATGACACAATGAGTATGGCGGATAGCTCGGATATCCTTGGAATGCCGTTGGTAAGCATCTTTTAATAATTTAATATAGTGTTAACTTATTAACATCTCGACTTTGTTGACGACAATCAAGCGATACCCCGTGCTTAATAATATTACCTTCCTACATTCTATAGCTAACTAATAATAGGTTACTGTTTCTGAAAGCGTTGGATTAATTTAGACAGTATATAATGCTGAGATATTTGCAAAACTGCGGACCACAGGTGTATGCGGTGGGGAACGAACGCGCGCTATTGTCCTTACCGGGGAGTAGCGCACTTCACCATTACACCATCCGGGTCCTTCGTTTTGCCTGTCGCTGCAAGTATCTCAGCATTATGTACGAGTTATATTTCGCAACATACCCTGCCATTGAAAAGAAAAAGGCAGTAAATAAAAGGGTCAAGTTAGACAGTGTTCAAGCTTGGAGATGATAAGCTGTCATTTCCAGCATGGTAAATCACAGTTATCGATTTGCGCAGCGATCTGCCGCATTTAATCAGTACATAAGTATCGTATAAAATAGCTGTCGCATTAAAATTTGCTGCCTGAATTTTTTGCTCTTATGCTTCTAGTAAGTTACTTGTTTTTAGTCTATGACTGTCCATTGTTTATTTCTGTATTTCATTTCCCCTCACTATAAAATCTTACAATAGTGATTTTCAGCGCAAGAAGCACATCGCTTATGTGGCACCTGAATCGCATCATTCGAATTCGTTAATGGACGGTGGTGACGATGACGATTCGTCTTCATCGACACAAGATGAGCTGACAGCGATGCAACGTGGTCGCCATCGTCGCTCGCGCTCTAGTCGTTGCGATTCGCGGCGACAGAGAGCGAGTATGGACAACCTGGCGACAGCAGCGCGGCGCGAACGTGGCAGCCTTTCGCCGTCTGTCCGCCGTTCGCCGATCGCCGTTGTAAAGGAGAGGAATCAGGATGGAAGGCATCGGTGTGCTTGAAATTATACTCCGTTTATTTTCGATTTCGAACTAAAATCGGAAATTTTTCTTGGGACAACTGTTTTCCGCCGTAGACTGTTTTCGTACTTTCGATTTCTTCAACACGAAATTTGTCGAATTTTAGTGCCATTGTTGCTTTAAAAACGATCTTGTAATGAGAGGTGAAATCGTTTCGAACACGAAAAAGTTGAGCAAAATTTATTTGAAAGACAACTGTTTTTTTTTTATTAAGAAAAATGCTTTTTGGTTTCAACGATCACAAATGCTGTGGTGATTTTTGCACTAAACTAGTCGATCGTTTAATAGTGTCACTGGGAGCTGCTCTTAGATTTAAAAAAAATTTGCACTTCTACTTAAATGTTTACGAGATTCTCAAACGAATCGTGGACCCTTGGTGACCTGGCAACCATTTTTCAGCAATCCATCGACGTCATCCGTGGCTTCAAGTACGAATCGTTCTAAACAAGGCCGGAAATCCACCACGGTGAGTCTCAACTGTGTATTTTTAGGAACAGCGGTTCGAAAACTCGCCCGACGCCCGCCTCTGGTATGCCCTTCCCATTTCTTTCCATATAAATGAAGTTTTAGCGAAAGTACGAAAAGTGGACAATTTTAACTTCGCCTTAAAAAAATGCAATTTTTCAAATCACATTTCACCATATTTTATTCTCCCAAACGTCATCTTCCTTGCTGCTGATTTTCGAGCAGTTGTTTTTGAATGAATTGGATAATGAGTCGTTCAAATTCTTTGTAGGAGCAATAGTTATTATATTATGAGGATATGTCATAGGATCTTCGTTCCTTCTTAAGCTGCATATTCTTTGAATTTACCATTCTAAGAAGTGTCAGTATTTGAAAAAGTATGAAGTGAAATACTAGAAATAAAAGCAAAGAGTTATAAACAGCTTTCAAAGTGGTGACAAATTCACCTTTTTAAAAACATGTAGTGTTATACAGTTATTCATTTAGTCGAATTCTTATCTTTGTGAAGCCTAGATATACAATCCTGGTAGTTATTGAGTGATTCGGCGGGATACCTCGAGACCTTCATTTACCCATCACCGAAGCAGTGTTACTCGATCTGATTTGCTCAATTGATGGATACGACCAGAATCAAGACATCTGATTTCAGCTCCTTTTTTTCTACTGTTTTTAGCGAGAAGATTTCCTCGGGGAACTGTTTAGTCTCAGTAATGGCATTGATCTAATCTTAGCTGGCTTCCCGAGTGGAAATTTCGAACTGCTTAGCTCGAGTTACCTTGCTGGAAGGACGAGCTTCCAGGTGCACATCTTCGAGATACGATGATGCAGTAAACTATTGAGGGTGTGGTGGGGTTTACGAATCTACTGAGAATAGTGGTATTCATTTTTATGACGTGTTTAAACTGGTTCTTTCACATTGATAATTGTGATTTTCGTAAAATAAGTTACTTGGTAGGTTTCATTTTGTTTTTGATCGATGTTGTTTTTTAATAACCACTATCGTGACGATTTAGAAACGCTTCGAATATCTTATAGAAGAGGTGTTTTTTTGATCGATCTGAGTGATTTTATAAACCATTTATTTTAGTAAACGATTTCTATTAAACGGAAAACACCATGTTAGGGGAAAAACCAACCACCACGCGACTACTGGCGATGTTTAAATTCCGATGGTTTAGAGACAATCTAAAGCGAATCCAATTAGTCGTCTCATTAAATTTTTGTGTCGTATGTTCAGCTCTTACTTTTGGTCTCAATATGCAAATCTGGTCATTGACTGGACTTACTCTTGATTTCTTGATCGAATACCTTGCTGAATGGCCATGTGTTAAATCCTTCGACAGTAGACCTTTCCGAACCTTTCCGAAGTAGACCATATCGCTTGTATCACCTGTGGTCCCGTTGATTGTCGATTGACCCGAGCTGGCGCAAATAAATTTTCCACTTCTCTATGTCGCGTGCGTGCAAGAATGACCTAGTGGACTGTGCTCACTGTAGACTCACTGAGCATGATATCTTTCATCTTGGGTTTTCGTGATGAAGTTTCATTACCTAATTACATAGGTAGTCTTGACAACCGTATCGCAGGTATTAACTGATGCATCTTCGCGTGGGACCAATCTCTTCTCTATGACAGTCGCCGTAATCATACCTCATTTTGCGGCACATAACACAATTTTGTATGGATGTTACTTGAGACGACAGCTAGTTTTACGCTGTCCGCGACGTTGATCGGGAAACTCGTCCGAAAAACTTTTTTAAAATTTATTACATGTGTAGAATAGATTGGACAGGTTTTTGGGTGAATGCGAAAATATAGCAAATATGCTGTTGGCGAAAAAAATTTGCGTTGGCATCGATGCATATGTTCACTCAAAGCTTAAATATGAAATCCTACTCCAATTAATCACTGTTTTTAAATTATTGAGCTTATACGAGGTAGAGGATAATGTTTATTTCGGCTGACCTTTAGGCGTTATCGTCTTCATCAAAGGCGACAATCCGAGTCGATGGTCCACAGTTGTTCTTCCTCTTGTTGTTCGGTTGACCACTATTTAGTAATTAATAATTTTATTTATTAGTGTCATTTAACGTATCTAACAGCATTACTTTATAATTTTGTTCTTTATTTTATTTTTAATTTATATAACTTTATTTTTTTTAGTTAGATGCTATACTAGTACACTAGTACACTACATCTAACTTTTATTTATTCATTTGAACTGTAGGAATTTTCTAAGAGATTTATTTCGTTCGTAGAAACATTTCTTGGGAGTCGGCTACACAGCAAGAGAGATACGTAAAGTTTTCAACCATCGTTTGAAAATTCTACCACAGTGTTTGAATGGTTTTCGTCGAATCATCATTGGTTTAACTACATGAGTTTTTGGTGGACAAGAAAGAAACCTGCTTCATGTAGTGTCGAGGACTTGACAAGCTGTGCTATCGCATGACTTGAGAGCAATTCACCTTCGTTGAAAGTACGTCGTTTTGTCGGCACATTTTCATATTTTGCACCAGATGGTGATATTTCCACAGCTGGTTCTCGGTTGTACAATGGCATTGCGTCTTCCCTTCCTCCCTCATTTTCCAGCCTAATAATTATTTTTGATTGAATACTTATCATACATCTATTGCTATCATACAAAACTAGGAACCACGGAATAAACAACAGTGGAGTAGAGCAAATATCTGAATAAGTTGTCATTTTCAAGAGACGAACACTGAGATGAAGTGAATTTTGATTCGTGTAAACATCTAGACCTTTCCAGTCTTCTGTTCATATTTGTGCGAAATCACAAGCTGTTCCGTTAATATGGTAGTTGGCAATTGCCACTAAAGTATCTCTGTGTTATTAAATAAAGTAACCTTTATTGATCGATTAATGACTACCCAGTTAAGTTTAAGAGAATAATGTTGTTGTAGTTATTGGAATGTTAGTTTTACAACAAAGCGATTTTCTTGCGAAGAACGTTATTTTGTTTCCGTTATAAGTTAGACTCCACTGTAAATATACCTCTACCTGTGAATGTCTACATGGTTGACTGTAATCTAAACGGAAATAATCGGCTTCGATAAAATTTTACCACTTTCTTCCAGTGATTTTAGTGTGAACCTCAAAGAAAACTAGCATCTTTTCGCAGGAAACTGACACTCGTGACACTAAAGTTCAACAACTACGAAAAATTTTGTTCAGCCATCACTTTTTTCTTTCTACCGGTTTCACAAACCGTAAGCAACAAGTGCTTAACGAAAACCGGCTGCGATCACCTTGAAGAGCTCGTAGGATTAGTTCGTGCTGTTTAACTCCTACCACTTTTGACCGTATCTTTAGCCAGTTTTCGTAGTATCGACGAAATAAGAGCCAGTAACTCCTTACCGAAGCCGTAGTCAGTCTCCGTTAGTGTTTTTCAATAAATTCTATGTAATTGTAGATTGGTAGTTGTCCAAGTGTGAAATCACATAGCAACTCTGTGTCAAGCACGTATTTTTTAAAGTTGTTTTGCCTAAATTATTTGCTTTTTTTAACCAATATATGACGTTTTTTCTTAGTTAGAATGCCACTTGGCTAGACTTAACGATATGAAAACCTCTACAGGAAAGTCGTTATCGGAAAGCAGTGTTGTTTTGTTGTCCATTTTTAAGAAAGATTTACAGCAAAATTTTCTCCACCACAGCGTTCTAGTTGGGCTTTTCTGACTTCTCTCTTTTTTATAGTGAGTTTCCTCCACATCTGAGTTCCTCTTGTTCGCGTTAAGAAGATTTTTATTGGGCCATTTCAAGATAGTTAATACTGCTGGTTATTTGAACAATGACACCACTCACCGTGAAGAGTATTTGTCAAGAGAAAAGACGTTTGGTGAAATTCATTTCATCCTGAATTCATTATTCGTTTTTGGTTAAGTAGATGTATAGGAAAATTCGTTTGTTAACATTGTTTATTTGATCCTTACCTAATGCTTACACTTAGGATCTAACATGAATTGATTTTCACTCTTGTAGTACGAAAATGACGACCGCTTTCAACTTCAAACAAACATATCTCAAATCGTTAGAAGATCTTTACCAATGTGGTACAAGTTGTCTTTTTCTACCGCGATTAAGTTTTTGATTTCGTGAACTCCAAAAATCCTTTTTTTTTTGGTTTTTTTGCTTCTTTGCTTTCTTGTGTGAAAGCTGGACAAACGGAGTTTCGCCCATTACAATGCCGTGGTATTTCGGAATGTCCAGCAGATGTTTCTGGCTATACCTAACTTGTCTTAGGAAGTCGGAATTTAAAAACGAAATAGTGATTTTGAAAAATCTTATTCGGTCTTACATGGGTAGAACAAAGTCTGCTTTATCATTTCATCAAATTTTTAACTCCTCTTGTTCTTCAGTTATCTAGAAATTACGAGCAGATGTTGAAAAACCAGCTTCAAACTCTACAGAATGTTGGTACCTATTTTCGTTATATAATCTTTTTATTTAGTTCATTGCTAAGTTTTTCTAATGTCCGAAATCTTAACAAATTTTCTCTCTAATCATTATGCACACTGTTTTTCTTTCTCAAGCGTAAAGGTCATCTTTTCTCATCTCTCATATGCGATTTGGATTTTTCTTCTCTAACGTTCTTTGAATTACTTTCGGGATTTCAGGGAGGATTTTCATAGTTGTTTTAAAACGTTTTCATTTATTAACTAAGTTTCACAGTCTTATAATGGACGTAGATGGATCGATTTGTTAAGTTAGTTAGAAAACTGGCTGAGAGAATGGCAAAGCAATGGTCTTTATAGTGAAGTGGGTAACACGCGATTTCTCGGAAAGGGTAATTGCGGGTTCGAGTCTGGGCTGGGGTCCAACTTTTTGCAAATATCTCAGCATCGTAATGGTTGTATTTCACATCATTCTTTGCCATTAAAAAATGAATATATGCAGTAAATAAAAATTTAGCATTTTCAAGTCTAGTTTTGTGCAATGTACACGATCAATAAGAAAACATTTTTCTTCTTACTTGACTGAAATGTTATGAGGAAATCGATTTGACACAGTGGCAACAATATAAACGGTTTGTGCCAAAGATTCGGTTGTTTTTGCTTTCCGACTTTTTTCTTGAACTTATTGCAATTTTGGATGCTTGCTAGCCACGTTAATCATGCGCTTGAAACGGTCTGAAGGACCATTTTACCTTCTAAGAATCGTCATTGAATGGCGGATGTTGGACTACCGGCCAAGCGATCCGAACCGCTGTTCCGTCAGCTGATGCCACGATGTCGTCTTTCGTCACCGTACGACAATATGTTGGCGGTGGTGATGAACAGTCATCAACCAGTAAGTCATCTACATTTTTATATTTGTGTGAATTATAGCGTTCGGTTCCACGATCGTCACCGCAATGTCAGGAATCGCGACTGAGGTCGTTGGAAGCCCAGGTACGTTCTTGTTCTTGTTTTTGAAGAAAAAAGTGTAAAATTTCAAAGTAATCTTGATGAAATCCAGTCTAGAAGTTTTCATATCCGAAATAGCTTTTGTTTTTGTCGGAATATACAGTGAACTTTGTTACACACATCTGCATTGTTCGGTTTATTCCGTCATAGAGTAGTTTTATCGCTCCCTACCTATTTCTTTCTAGAGAACTTAAGCTGTTTATTCGCGAAGAAGGTGTCCCAATGAATAAACTTCTTATAAGATTAATTTCAGAAGGAAATAGCGTTCTCATATTTGAAAATTATCCTAGTGTTTCAACAAGAATTGAGGCATTTCTACAACAATCGCGAGGTTGTTATTCAGCACACCTTTACTTCCTTGTAAGTATAACACATACAACACAAGGGTAGCTGAGGTTTCGGCAGAATTGCCTTCTTCAGAGCCTGGAAGGGTACACTCATATGTAATTTACTAGGTCAAACGCTTCAACAACGCGAGCAGAAAGATGAAAATCTGAACAATAGTTACACGATCACCGGCTTCTCGAAAAACCCACCGTTTTTATCTGCTTTCCACTAAGGAAGAACAGCCGATTAGAGTCGCACATGGTTGATTGCTGCACCACCCCACATTGAAAATCATCATTCTTGGATTTTTGGAATTTATACAAAAGTCCTCGAGAAATTTGCACGTTGGTGTTTCAGTCTCCTGTGCAGGATAGCGACTTTTGCATCAAAATCTTCTCCGCTAGGATACATAAAAGTCTGCCCGTTTCGCCGATATATTCATCTCCGCAAGTACTTCGAGAAATCAGGTATATCGTACCTGAACTCATGCAGTCACCGTCTCCGCCGTAAGGGCAAATTACACAGTTTGGTGTTTCACATAGACGGTCATACAGGCAGTTAGGAATTAACTGACGACGTTGAGTATCCGGTGGTATTTCAACTATCGCTACCGATTCCTCTACAGCTGCCCTTCTTAAGCATCGCTTTATCGCTACACTTATTCCATCGCTAATGAAGACCCAGACAAACGGGATTTTATTTCGGCCAAATTCATCGTTTTGGGGCGTCGATCTCCTACTAAACTCATCTCTTGGGGTTACTATTTCGTAGCCATTGGAAATGGCTGTTTGTCGAGCCAAGTTGCGCGATTCTTCCTTTAGTTCCCTGGTAGGGCACACAGAGGTGACTGTTCGAAACCTGTTTCTCACAAGCGCCTTCTTTGTGTGTGAAGGGCGGGAAGAGAGGAGATGAACGAGGATGTTCTTGTTACTTGGCTTTCTATCAAGTAACCGCTACTTGATAGGTTTATTTGAACGTTTAAAAACGGAAACCAGTTTTTTCTCGGTTTCTCCTGGGTGGACTTTATGTTCTCAGACTGCTCGCTCAATAATTCAAAGCATTTGTCCATCTCCTCCTTCGTAGAGAAGACGACAAAACAATCATCTACATAACTGCAGTAGAGTAGTGGCAAGAGGTCGAGAACAGGGGCTTCTATCTTAGACATAAGCACAATGGCAAGGTTTGGTGCCAGTTGCTGTCCCATTACCAGCCACCTTATTTGCGCGAAATATTTCCCAGACCATCTGAAAATCGAGCAGTTTAGACACTCGTTTAAGAGAGCCATGAGCTGTTGGTTGGGCAAGCCATGCATACTTATTCTTTCTTCATGTGCAACAAGTAGTTCGAAGATGGCTTGCATTGCGGAGCCATTCTACACGTTGGTGTACAGCACGGTAACGTCGAGAGACTCCATCACGTACGCGTTATTAGGAGACGCATTACGTAGACGTTCTAGGAACGTTTGGGTGTTGGTGAGGTGAGCTGGAATATGTTTAGGCAACTGGGTTAGTATTAGGCTCAGAAACCAGGTTATCCTATCCGTTGGTCCGTCTACACAGCTGATGATTGATCTAACCATAAATGATGAGTGATTAGTTGACGCAAGATCATCAGGTGATACCAACTTATGTGTTTTAATAAGTAGGTATAAGATGGGGTATGTTGGTCTATTGACTTTAAAGTGCGAAATAACCGTCGATTTTAAGTCTGCCGCCTTTGCCACTTTGGCCCACCGATTGTTTAGTTTTCGGTATTGACTTTTGTAATCCCTTTCAGATGATGGACGATAAAGGGTAACATCACTAAGATGTTCCTCAGTTATCTTACCATCTAACTGGAGGGAATAACTACGAACTCTTTTCCCCTTATCACTAACTGATGTCCTAGTGGCCTTTGAATTTATTAGATCTCTAATTTCTTGCATGCCACACTTTTGTGCGGCTGTAAGGTTAGAGATAAATCTTCTACCGCGATAGTGATTACGAGTGTTGAGAACGCCGTCCGAAAATATGCGGAATTTTGTGTCAATTCCGTCATTGAGTTCCTGCTGTCTAAAAAACGTTCTAGGGAAAGGAGATGGTGGTAATGTCGCCGCCTCTTGGTTTTCACCTCTATTTTATGTTTCTTGTTTGGTCTGATAGCGGAGTCAATCTTGAAGCTTATAAAGGTTGCACACTATCTCCTACGTTTTAGAAATGGGTTGTGATGGTGCAAAACTTGGGCCCAATTCTAATAGCGAACGCGCACTCTCAGGTATTGTTATGCCCCTAATCACGGTGACCCTAGATTTTCTTGGTGCATTATCAACCGTACTTTGACTCCTAGCAGAGTTCGTTTGTCTGTGATTTCTTGAAGCCCAGACACGCGAAGTAGTCAACAGATTCTCGAACTTTCGCTGTAGGGTCATTTTAGCATTGGACCCTAATAGAATTGCATATCAGTATTGACCCACCAACTGTTCTCCTCCAAGGTTGACTCTCCAAATACAAAGCACAAAAATGTTCCTTCGTCACACATTTCATCCTTATTGCGAACATATCGTTCCGTTTGCTTCGTAGTGTGGTCCAAAGTAGTTCCATTTTGATGCCTCGCACTTGTTGGCTGTCCTCTGTTTTACCGCATATCTCGTGGAGACGTTTCCGTTTTATGAACTTCGGCAGTTGAACTTTTCTATTTAGCGTTGAACAAGGTGTGTCCTAATAATTGATGAAAACTCCATTATTGTGGGTGACATATCTACGGAAAGAAGGATATTTTTATTGCTAAAAAAAAGTTCCTTCTTACAACATTTCTTTCATGAAGCAGAGAAGACGAAAGAATTTTGATTTAGTGATTCAGTGAAGTGATATTGTTTCACCGTTTATATCCAAACGACTTCTTCACTACAGTAACATTTCTGTGAATCTAGCACTACTTTAGATTGCTCATTTTCTTATAGTAATAGTTTTTCTGTCTCAGTTTAGTCGGGAAGTCGTTTTCTAGGTGCAGAATCTTCGTGATCAACTACGTGAAACGTCGATTCGGCTCGGTGATACGAAGACGGAAAACGAGCGGCTGCGTTATCTCTACAACAGCAACGAGGTATATTTTCAGCCTTGTTCAAATCATCACTAGTAATACTTTCCTTCTGTCAGTTAGTTCGGTTTGACATTTTTAAAATATTGTAGCAAAGTATGGATACTATTTCTTTAGTAATTTATTTTATCTATGAACTCGTTTTTTCTTTATGAAGTGAAAGAAAGGCGGCGAAGCCCTCAAGATGCTACGTTGCGACGGATTCAATCAATACATATGTTTTGTAAGGCTGCTATCCTAAGGTGAACTGACAAGTTGCCACAAGTTTTTGTAGTGATAGAGGAAGAAAAGAAAACTGTCTTTCATCTACGGTACTCTTTTTAATTTTTTTCCGTTCATATGAAACACAGATATGTTGTGCTGATCTCTGCACTTCATGTCGTTCTGTTCGTCATCTAATCCGTCATCCACGAAGATCTTCCAAATTTGTTATTGATTCAGCTGTTACTTGAGGGCTTTGTGTTCGTCATGAATGTGGTTGAATGGTGATCAAGTTTGATTCTCTATGGAATCCTAAGATAGCTTTAGCGGAGCATCGCCGGCTATTCACCACAGTTAATAGTCGTCCATTATGTGGATTGGAGGAAGCTTTTGCCAGACAAATCTGCTACCAATTTAACGACGATGGATAGATGCAAGGTTTTATTGGCCTCCGAGGCGGTTAGAACCAGCGGTCATGCGTGCATTATTGCAGACATCTCTAACAACTGCGCGTTTTTCTTTAGAAATAAATGCTATGAACTGTGGAGTTTCTTCATATTAAAAGAAATAGTTTGGTTCCAAGGAAGATAAGAGAATTGCCTCATTATAATTGGGAGCGCTTATCAAAGAGAAGTATGGCGAAAGAAGATGAGCTGAGGTGTTTTCTTGAAGTTCTTGGTTGTCTTTTTTTCATCATTTCTATTCATTTCATCTCTCTAGTTAAGATCCATGTAAGATTCATTTCGCATGTAATTGACTGTTCAAAACTTCTCGTTTGCTGTAACTTCTAGGTTTTCAACCTAGTCATGTATATGTAACTTCTGGGTGACGGATTTCGGTGCTGCGACTCTTGAGAATAATTACGTTTAAGTGGACAACTTATGGATAGACAGTTTACATAGACGGGGAAACATCATCTAAAACGCAAAGAAGAGGAATAACGGGTAAAAATTTACTTGTAGTATAATGAAATCAGTTTTCGCTTTAGCATGTTTCATTGGGGCGCATATCATTTAGTGGTTAGAGGTGCTCTGCAATACACATAAAATTGGTTGTTGGTTCGATCCCGTCGGTACCCAAAGCATACCAAGTCTTCCGTCCGTTTGAGCTTGGCGGATTGGTACCAGGTTTATTTGGGAAGATAGCATCATTTATTTGATACATCGGTAGACCACCACAAGTCATTGTATGGGCCAGATGCAAGTTTAATCACCTCTACGATGATTTGAATAGAATCGAATGTGTGAGGTCTCTGTGGGGGATCGATCAACGCCGCCCACTTTATGCTTTATCCCTTGTGTCTCATTGTGCTACAAATTGTGGAGACATAGCGAAATTCTATTGATTTGTCGTGGGCTACGAGAGCTCACTTTCCTACGAGTCGTCCGGAAGAAGGCGGTGCTGTTCGATGATGGCTAACTGGTGGTTGTTGCAGAGAATTTGTATGCGTGATGCATTCGATTTTTCTACAATAGCGCGTTTCCAATCGATATTGCTTCTTTACTGAACGTATCTTTGATCGATACTGCGTCTTTCTCGTATTCGAACAGACCCACTGAGAATGTTTCGCGAAGCAGTTTCTGAGGTGAGTTGATGAAAAGCGGTGACTCTGCTGAGGTCTGAGGTAAAAACTTTGAAAATGAAGGGAAATTGACATAAGATTCGTTATGAAGCCTTGACTGAGAAGTAGATATTACCAGCAGTTGTTATGATAATTAGTGGTTGTATGAAGTTGTTTTTGTCATGTTAAAGAGAGGCGCCATACAAGTTTTAGTTAAGCATTAAAAAAGAAACGAGAAGAACACTTAAAAAGGCCGGACTGCATGTTTTGATTTGGACACAAATCTGTTCAAGAAGTGTAATCTGAGAGCTCTTGAGTTACAAAACCCATGAGATATCTGATGTCAACGTTGTCGTTGTTCCTTCTGTTTACGTTCTTCTCCTACTTTCCGTTCTTTCGAAGCGCCAATATAGCTTTGTTTTATTCTTTTACGTTTAATTATGAGGGCATTTGCATTGGTCAGAGTTTCTCCCTGAAAAAGGCATATTGAACTGAGGGTTATTGTGTTCGGTTTACATACATATTTATATAATTGACTGTTTATTCATCTGTTCCCTATTTTTTACTAGGTGTGTTGTTTGTTTATAAATGACATACAAAATTAGAATTGGTATGAAGAGAAAGCCTTGATGATACTTGCCTATATTCATGCTGTCACATTGTTCGTCGAGGATTTCAGTCGAGCTCTCTAACGGCCTTACGGAAATCGTTAGCAGTAGCTGAACAAGATGTACGGAAAAAACAAGAAGAAATGGAAGAATTGCGATCCCAGCTGGTAAATCAGGACGACGAACAACAGTTAGTTTCTCATTCCTCTTTACCTATCTTTTCTTTTTTTTCCTTTCGTAATTTCCTTGGATAGAAAAGATTCGTTATTGAGTAAACGCTATCTTGATATCTAAAAACAGCGCTTGAAGAACATTTTTTGAGCATCTTTTCATACGTCAGTTTATTTTCGAGCCGTTTCATTGGTTGACTCAACCGACCAAGTACCAAGATAGTTTAATTGTTTTAATTTATTGTCGTTTAATACTCTGAATAGTCATAAATACCACAGTTGGTCTCCTTCGATGGACAGCTCTAAGTCTCAAGAATCAATTTCGGTAGTAAATATTGTAGGATAGTGTACAGTTGTACTTGGTGTTGGGGACGGTTATTTAATGTGGGGGATGGTGATGAAGTCTTCTTATTGACTGTTGAACATTCAGTTCTAGATGTTTTAATTGTTTTGGGCATAAGGCGTTAACCAGTCTTTCACGTCTGCTTAGATTCCGTTCTGTGTGATTTCTTGTGTTTTGAGGTTTGGAAGCTTTTCAATGTTAGAAAAATATTCGCTCAAAAAAAACATGTCTTGTAAACAGTGTAAACTCAAGTAAAACAATGTTTAACGTTTTGTTTTCTGCCTTCTATAATTTTCATGGCAGGTTACTAAGCGAAATACAACCACAACGTTGCTGAGATATTTGCAAAACTCTGGACCGCAGGTGTCTATGGTGGGGAACGAACGCGCTATTATCCTTTCCGGGGAGTAACGCGTTCACCACCACACCATGCGGGTCCTTTGTTTCGCACGTCTCTCAGCTATTTATATTTATATTTATAGCTATATATAAAAGATCGATAGAAATAGCTGAGAGACGTGCGAAACAAAGGACCCGCATGGTGTGGTGGTGAACGCGTTACTCCCCGGAAAGGATAATAGCGCGTTCGTTCCCCACCATAGACACCTGCGGTCCAGAGTTTTGCAAATATCTCAAGTAAAACAGTTTATGAACTGGCTGGATCTTCTTCGATATGTGTTTACAATTGGTTAAACTACTTAATAATATCCAAGGTTTTGTGGTTTGTTCGATGGTAGTGAAGAGAATTCTTTCTTCTGATTGAATATGTTTTTCTACACTAATTCCTTCAGGGTAGCAGCTGTACAACCTCGTCTCATCACGATGTTACGTGTTCAGTTGAACGCTATTGCACACATCAGTAAATTACGAATCTTCGAACCAAACTTGAATATCGGCGAAGATGTCGAAGAACTGCTTCAATTGCTTGGAAAAGTGAATGACGGTGATCTACAAGAACTACAGAAGATTCTCGAAGATACGACGGTGCTCTACGATCAGGTGCGCGGCAAGGTTTTGTTAATGTCCTCCTTTTCAGTAATGTTTTAAAAATCTCATTCTGAAGCTTAACTTTCCTAGCATTTTTTCTTATCAGAGATGTTAATAAGTGTAGTAGAGTTAAGCAAAAACTATACGGTGGTTTGAAATTTCTTTCTGTGAGGCGAGTTCTGTCTTTGGAAATAACGTTGGTGCCACTGTTTTGTCTGCTGTTGGTCAATACAATAGTTCAAGAAATCAACCAATCATACGCATGGGGCAATGGGGGCTATACTGACCATGCATGGAGTCCACTTGTGTTCTTTTCTTCTTTTTCCTCCTACATTTTTCATTTAATTGTAGATCTCACGCGGAATCATCATTCGATCTCTATCCGACTCATGGACAATGACCGAAGCAGTTGAAAATGAAGCATTCGTTTATGATGATGAAGAAGACACTAAGGAAGATAGCGAATGGCAAGCCGAAATGACTGCGATTCAGGTGCATTTGTTTATTTAGTTGTTCCAGTTGCTCTAACGAGATGGTGAATCTTTTTGATATTTTCATTGTGAAATCTGTTCAATGTCTGATTGCTATTCTAGGAAATAAAAAGGATAAAGTGATGGCCACAGTTTTATAAGTCATTAATAATCAGTGAATTCCTTGATTAATTTGCCCTTTAAATCCACCGAATGGCAAGATTTCTGGTCATTTTAGTTTTATCGCTTTCAACGGGTCACATTTTATTGTTATAAATTTTTAGAATACTCATCAGTCAGAACTGGAAACGATTCGACATCACTATGAACATCAACTGAATGGAATGCGAGAGCGCATAGAGCACGAGGAGTCGCGACGACGAAAGTTGCAAGAAGAGCTTCTACAGATTACGGTAACGATTACAATATCTAGTACTTGATACTTGAATGGCTCGTCATCACTGGTATTGCGGACCCCAGAACAATCACCATTTTTCGGAGATTTGCTGGTTAAGCCATTGTGGTTTCCTGGAATCCCGAGGAGAACTTGGCCAAAGTGTGCTCCAGGTCGTCACCACGACAGGCAGTCTCAGCCCTTGTGGATCAGAGGGAGATTTGCCACTATGCGATTTTGATACCAGGATGGTGGTGGACCCTGGTATTGGTTTACTCTTAGCTAGGCTTCCTAATGGAAACGCCGGACTTCTTCTCAGCATGGGAGACTCTGCCATAGGGATGAATCCATCGACTGCACATCGCAGCCCGTCACCCAGGAACACCACCTAGCCACGATGAGGCGGTAAACCGTCGGTAGGAGGTCTTCATAACCATTTTAGAACTAAGTACTCAGCAACTTTTATGACAACGAATATTCCATCCAAGGGGTGTCATAGGTTTCCTTGTTAGAGATGTTATATAGCCTCTGATATATGTAAGGTGTGATCCGATTGATCTAAACTCAATTTTTATGTCTTAGTAATGTTTTTATCAAACGTTTTTTGAACTAATTTTAAGTAATAACCTTCTTTCCCTTCTCCGTCGAGCTTTTTCAAGTATTCTTTCTTTTCACTGGATCTCGCAAGAGCATGATCACTTCGCTGTAACGTCAAGCTATCAAGACAATGATTTTGCGAGCAGCTTTAGCCAGATACCATATTCTTCTATGGTCCTGCTTCCAAGAGGTGGTGAAGTGGCGGAAGAAGAGCTGTATCATCGTGCTGTTGCTGTGATAGTGATTAGCTAGAGTTTCTGTTTAGGACCAATTTATATCGACAATTTTTAGTAGCATAGCCTTTAATTTGACCCATAAACATATATATCGTTACAAGTTAGGAGTAATTCGGCCGAATGGGCTTTATTCATATTTTTTTTTTCTGCTAGAAATTCCTGGTGGAATCCTATTTGTCCTTTATCGAGGCTGTAGAATAATTTTGCTTAATTGTTTCTCGATCACCTTTAATATATAAAACAGACATTATCTGTGATTGAAAAGAGTCACACCGACTTCTTATTTTTACCCAACTCACAAAGTTTATCGTTTTTGAAGATGATGAAAATGAGCTGCGTTGCTAAGATCTGGAGTTCTACCGTATTCGGGGGTTTCTGAAGCGGATATTCACGTCACCATGGTTCAGTTTGTGTCATGAGGGAAGAACGTAGTAATTCCAGTCTTATTCAGAGAAGCTGATATTGAAATATTGCACTCAAGAATATTTCTACGACGTTTCATCGATTCGGTGACTCTTTTTCAGTTGTTTCAATGTCATTCTTATTCTGCGCCATGTAAGAAAGCTGACTGAGAGCTTATACCGCTGGAACTGATTGGCTGTATCGCACATATTTCAAGACTCAAGTTTCTTTCTAATGAATAGTTAATGGTGTTAGAAATGGTCGATGTTTTTGATTGAACAAGGACCTCTGGCAACGGTCAACTTTTGTAAATTCATAAAGTACCATGATGGATTTACCGAAACATTTCTATTTTTCAATTGGTGAATGTTATTCAGAGTCGCAACGACCAGTCACTGACAACGGTGAAAGCGTCGTTCGAGGAAATGCTAGAAGAGCAACGCAGCGGATTCCAGGAGGAAATGGAGCAGCTACGAAAAGAACATCAGAAAGAATTGGATGAAGAGAAGGCTGCCACTAGGTTTATCTTTATGAGAGCGAACTGCCACTATTGCCTGAGATATTTCGATTCTTCTTTTTCAGTGTCAATTTTCATTATTTACGTATCGGTTTCTAATTTCTGCGTAACTGCTTCAGATTGGCACTGGAAGCTGTTCGTCGAGCTCATGAAGAAGAACTAAAGCAAGCAACAACGAGGAAGCTCTGCGGAGAGAAAGATCGTGACGCCTCGAGACAAAAGTGGGGTGTAGTTGCCTCTTGATTTTTTTCTCTTTTTCTCGTTTTTTATTCTTTTTCGACATTTCTTCGAGTTCTTGGAATGGTAGGAGAATGTTATGCGCCAAAAATTGGTTGTAGAAGTCTGATTAGATCCGTGATAGTTTTCTTTCTCATATAAAATCATCATTAATATTGTTACTATTATGACTACTATTTTTGTTACTATCACAATTGTTATTTCAAAAACTGGAAATCTAGACCAACTTCAAACCCACGATTACATTTTCCGAGGACTCACATGCTACCCACTGCACCATGGTTTTTTGGCTTTCTCTCAGTTTTTTCCCTAACGGTGCTAATTATTCGTGTCTGTTGGTATAACAATATAATAAGGCCGACTATCTATGAACCTCGGCCTAAATAAAGGTATGTTAGTTTATATGTTCTTATGAACTAATCTTGTTGAGCTGATAACGTAGTATGATAACAGTAAAAGCTAAAAGGGTGAAGCTCTCGGAGTCGATCAAGCCCTGAGTGATGCACCGTGCATTTGACTTCATTAAGCATCGTTGGGAGGTGATTGAATGCATATCTGACCTTTACAATGACTCACGGTGGCCGACCAATGTATCGAGCCAGTGCTGCTATCCTCCCAGACAAGTCTGGTACCAATTTGCCGACTCCGGAGTGACGGAAGGCTTAGTGGACCATGGGGACGCGAGTATCAATTCCACGTGTGTGTCGCAGGGCGTCTCCGACCACTGCGGCACACGTGCTCTATAATAACAGTAACAATAACAATAACAACGACGATAGTTAACTCTCTATTTACGGCCTATTATTTTTTCACGGCAGGCTGTAATGTGAGATAAAACCATAATGATGCTGAGGTATTTGCAAAACTCGGTCATCAGGCCAGATTCGAGCCTACATTAGCTTTTCGAGGGCTCAGTATTAATATTATTAGTCCCCTAATTAAGAAATAATATTAAGGGCGGTAATCACTGTTATAGCCTTACTATTAAAACGCAAATCCTTATCTAACACTCTTTCATCATTTGGCATCCTACTCTCCTTATCTAATGTATTGGAAGAATGGAAATAGAAAGCAGAAAAGTGACTCTGTTAATTCTGATAAATATAGGTTATTAATTCCTTTAGATCATGGTCATAAAATAATTGAATACCTATAACCTGTTCGCGACTGTTCAGAATGAGAACTGTACGCGACCGTCGCGCGTCTTGTGTTCGTTTACTTTCAAGTGTGTCTAACTTCACATTTTATCCATCAGGAACAAAATTTCATTGGCCGTACTAGTGTGCGAACATGAAAACGCGCAGTCCTCTCTTAACCACTGTTCGTTCTATTATCTCTTCTTTTAATATTTCATTCATGTCAATGCGCACGTGATGTACAACAAACAATTAATGCATTGATTTCGATGAGTTTTATTCCCAGTAGCTCATTTTGCTGCGCAGGGTTTTTTTTTGCTGTACTTTTTTGTTATATCGGATAATATACATAATATACAAAAGCTGTATTAAAGGACGAGTTGGTTCGCCAGGCCACAGAGACTCTTGCCAGCAAATATATCTTACCACTATCATTATTATCACCAAGAGTACTCGATGTCACCTTTTTCGGGTTGGTGCAAAGGACAGTGCGCATTGAATTCAGTGTTATCCTCGATTGGTGGAAAATCAGTCGTCATCTTTTTGTTCAGATATCTCAAAAATTAGATGTCGTGAATATATTAAATAAAATTGTTTTTGATTTCTGATGAGTTAGTTTCTATGGAAATAACAATATTGTGTAATCACAGAAAGTTTTTGTCATCTGTCATCATGTCATCATCTCTGAAATATCCACAGAAATCCACAACGATAACGAATCAACGTTCGAATAGAAATTTGCTATCTGTCACCATTGTGATATTAATGAAGAAAACAGAGTCCGCTTCCAAACTTATTCCTCATTCTTCGTTTCTTTCAGTGCTATGTTGGAGCAGATGCGCGGGGAGCTGACAACGTTGTCGGCTGCTTATTCGGCTAAATGCGTCGAAAACGCCCAACTTGACGAGCGCCTATCGGCGTTGATGGAGCAGCGAGCTCGAGAAGGTGACAGGTGAGAAGAACTGTTACCTACCTATTCACTTTACTTGTCAGTTAGAATTTTAATGAATTAATGGGCACTTGACGCTTAGGTGCATTCGCAAGTCCAGTTCGATGTCGTCGTTATCACCCATCTAGTCGAAGAGTTTATTTGTTCTATGTCGAGGATTTGGGAGAGGGAAGGCTAGTCCTGCTTTGTCCATCAATCGGTCCTGTCGGCTCATCTCGTTAGACTGTGTCAACGGTTGTACGCAAAGGTGTCTAATATAATGGTTTGGGAATGCGAGGGGTTTAAACTTTGGAAATAGTTGGTGCTTCAGTTGTTCAAACAAGCAGTATTCGGATTTTTTTCAGACATGGATGTGATACTACAACTTATTTTCTAAATTTTTCTTCTGACATAGCAAAATCCAAAAGAACTCAATTATTCGCGAATATTCGTTTTGCCATCTTGATACAATTTCATGATGAAATGATATGTAACCGACTGCTTTTCATGAAATTACTAAGGATATTCGCTAATTTCTCGCCCTTAATCGGCACCGTGTAGCGCAGTGGTTAGAACCAGCTCAGTTATAGCATCACTGATTAAGGAAAACTGAGTTACTCTATGAGAGGCGACAAAACCGGTAGCAAAGTATGCATCTGTCCGAATGCACTGAAACGTAGGCGGTAAAGCGTTTCGTGTTGATCAATTCCTGGCGGACGCACCATTACTTCCACTTCAGCAAACATCGTAAGATTTGACTGAATGCATATACAGCTTCTACAGTGATTTGCAGTACCCTTCGAATGTGTCAGACCAGGCTTTCTATACTTCCAAACAAGTCGGGTATCAGTTTGCCACGCCAAAGAATGGAAGAACTAGTGAGACCGGGATGCGGAATCGAACCAATGACCCACCTATCTATTGCTGGGTACCTCTAATCATTCCGGTGCACGCGCCTTGCTGTGCACATGCCATCGTCATATCTGTCAAAGTTCTCAAAACATAGTGATATCATTGACGTGGTAAAATTTGATGTTTCCGATTTTAGTGACGATATTCAACGTCTAAAACGAGATCTGTGCCTTCGCGATTCACAAGTTGCCGAACTTCAGCGACGAATTTCGGCGTATGAGCGACGAGGTGGCGACTCATCAATTGTCGTTAGCGGTTAGTTAACATGCAGAAATTTCGTTCTTTCCTTGTATTTTGATATCTTGTTACCTTATCGCTACTTTCACTGTTTCTTCAGGGCGTACGCGATCGTCATCACGGTAAGTATGCAAGAGAATTGTGCAGTGATATTAACTGAGCATGTGCCAACAGCCCCGGTAGTAGACGATAGATTATTCACTGTAGGAACACCATGCAACGCTGTGCAAAATATGCGTATTGATTGTTGTAGCGATGTTGCATGTTTTTCGCCGTGCTTTCTACATGGTTTGCACCAAAATTCGTAGATAAAATTTAGTTATTCCTGTCGCATAACGTTTTGTGATATGGATAGATTAAATATTGAGGCAGAATCGATATGCATAAAGTTGCACGACGCTTTTGCGCTACGAGAAAATGTTCTTTACACGCGTCCTCCTTTTCCTGTTTTTCGGTTTTCGTTAGTCCACCATAATGCTAGCCATAACCCATAGGATTTAGCTGGATGCCTGTTTGCCAACCCTTTGGTTAGCCCTTGGCCTATTAGCCTGAGTTTGCATTCATTCCTATGTTATTCACGTAAAAGAACCTTATCAGTAATTGTATTCACTTTAGACAAGGACGAATTGTCCTCGGAGGTACAGTGCTCCGAGAAAACAAACTCAGCAGTCAAGTGTAGGAAGATGAATAAGAACAGGAGAAAAGGCACGTTTTTTGGTTGTTTGTTATGTTTGTTGGTTATAGTAGCTATACTAGTAGTTATAGCTTACTGTGTATTTACAGACATTCGCTTCCACAGTAATCCAGTAATTTCAATAGTCGAAAATGTTCCCGAATATCTTGCTGAGGACGTGCGTCGCTCATTGGCCGTACCAGTTAGTGAACGGCGTAAATTTTTCGAGACGATCGCCGAATACAGTACCCCTTTCTAAGTTCTTTAAATGTCTCGATCTTTTCTCTCACTTTTCATCAAGCGTTTTTGTCCTTTTTAGCCCTTTTGCTTAGTTTCTAGTAGTAGTCTGATACACATATGCATCGAATACAATCGTAAATCGACGATGAGATCTTTCTTTTGCTAATGTACAAACTGATGAAATAAGCAATTACTGAATTACGTTTTTATTTTTTTCTGAGAATGGTGTGACGCATTTTTGCGTCACTGACGACAGCTACTGCTACTACGCAATCCTGCTTTTGTATAGATTTAATAAGTAATAAGATTTCTAAAGAAACCATATAGACACCAAATAAGCTATGAAATAGTCCAAATTTGTGATCATACACCTATGAACTGCTTGCTCACTTTGCAATCGTGTCCTTTTTGTATTTTGTGTTTGTAAACAAAAGTAAAACCATGCAATTTTGTTCAGTTCTGTTTCATATGAAAAAAGATGATTAAGATGATGAAGTTAGCTGAGAAAAAAAACGAGAACTATAAAAGTTCAGAAAATGGATGGAGCAACAGCTATTTGTCAGGATTTGAAAATCACCTTTGACAAAGTATGAAGGGATGAAGCGTGATGAACGCATCAACCCGTTGGAGGTGGGCCTTGCATTCAACTCTATTCGTAGCATCGTGTAGATAATTGGATGCATATACAGTTATTTGCGCTTGTCGATCAGTGTATTAAGTCAGTGATTTTTTTCATCACCTCAGACAAGTCTGGTAGCAATCAGCCAACCCCAAATGGATGGAAGGAGTGGTTATTCTCCGGGGAATGATTGAACTACGAAGCAGATGTGCATTACACGGCCTCTCTAGCCGTTGCACTACACGATAACATTTGCAACACGAATAGGCAACCCAACCTTTATTCAAGTTTGGTCTTTACAAACAATAATAAATATTAAAAAAGCTTCGTGACAAAGTTTTGATAGTTGTCACGTAACTTGTAGTAATAAACAAGTTTCAATACTTATATCACATAGAATATTTTTTATATACCTCGATGAATATGATGAAGTCAGATGAAAGAACGAACGAAAGAGATGTATGAGACAACGAGTACCGTAGGACAACGAATTCTCCTAGTGAATTAATTTAGAGAAAAACTTGGTGTTAGTTCTCTCAGTCCTTTTTGAGTTGAAATATGGACGAGATTTAACCGATCAGCTTTTGTGCTGCTGCGATTGAAATCGGACTCCAAAAGGCATGAATCTACTCGGATGCTGGCTGTATTTGATCTCATCAGAATACTCTCCTAAACGTTTATCCTATTATTATTTTGAAACATTTGCAGTTAAAACGTCACTTCATCCACAGTAACCTGTCATCTAAAATCGGCTCTCATCTATAGTAGTACTTTCGATTCTCTAATTTTCTTAACATCTAGCGCTTTACAACGATGAATAAACCCACGGTTACGGTCAGCTTGCTAGACGATAAACAATACAACAGATGATGTAAGCGACCACTCCAAACAATGTCCCACATAACATCCTATTTTAGTAAATTTTTGCAAAGAAAGGAACAGAAAATGAAGGACTGTCGTTATTATGCAAGCTGTTCAAAGCTATTAAGATACGCCATCTATGTTGGATGTTACCACGATCAGCATGAACAATTCTACTATTCCTAATACAATGCTGAGATATCTGCAAAACTCTGGACCGCAAGTGTCTGCGGTGAGGAACGAACGTGCTATTGTCCTTTCTGGGGAGTAGCGCGTTCACTACCACACCATGCGGGTCCTTTGTTTCGCCTGTCTCTCAGCTAATTCTCTCGAACTTTTGCCATTCCTAATTTCAAAACTACTTAGAAGATAAAAAGTTAACTAAAGAACTTGTTATATTGCCAAATAAAATTCTTGAATAACTTATCGTGAGCAACATGCATACTCAAAATGCTAACTAACACAACAATAAACGATAAGCTAACTAAAATAAATTTACGTGGTGAAAATTCTTCCCGACAAAAAATCGATATCAACGAACCCTCGATTCTATTGAGTCTGAAGAACATTGTCAGAACGGCGACGAATAAAGTCCCACAGGCGGCGCTTAGACCGCCGGCAACAAAGAACAGTCCGCTTCTGGAGATGGCGCATGGTGAAGACGACGATGTGGACTCTGAATAGGTCAGCTGAGTCAACTAAGTTTTAAACTTGTGAAGAAAAAAACTGTTCATAATCATGTATTCTTTCATAAGCAAAATACGGTTTGTAGGTTAGCCGAAGAATGTTTTTTTTCACCAACCTCGTGTTAGCGTATCAATGGGAAGAACAGATCTTGATTAGCCATAACAAGGTTAATGGAAAGTCGATCTTTGAAAAACTTATAACTACTTAATAGCTTCGGTTACTAAGCTAACATACGGATGAGAAACGTTGGTTAAGATATTCATGATTAGCTCCCGAATAATATTGATACTAACCACAGCTACAACTATGTTACATAGACGCTTAAGAAAAGCACTTCTCAATTCATGAACAAAAAAAAAACAACATGACGTTTTGTAAAGAAAACGAAATAAGTTTGAGAGATAACGATACTAGTTTGACTAGTTTGGCAGTATTATGTGACGTACTGGTGCTTGTCGTTAGCTCTGCTTTCACTTCGGGTGGTTCCTCGTCCAACTCGAAGATCAGCAACTGGCCGGATATCATCTGTTTATCGTTGTTAATCATCTCCACGTCACTCGAAGCAACGTGACTCGATGGTGATTCGTCCTCTGTGAGTGGTTCGTCACGTCGCCTTGTCGACATCCAATCCACCTTCAATCCCACAATCATCTATGTAACAAGCCGATTTCATGAAAGCTTAATAAATTTTTTTCAAAATTCATTTTTGTAGAAGGAAAAACGAGCAAAAAAATCATCTGACGAAATTTCATCATGCTGGCGATTACACGCATTGATTTCTATGCATACGCAACGAGGTGGTAATTGGACTTTGCCGCGCACCACGTCAGGGTCATCTAGATTTTTTGAGCTAGCACATTCGTTTTAGTCGTTCATTAAGCGTTACTAAAGAATAAATTGAAAAAATATAAAAAGTTAATGTTAATGTTTATTGCTTGCAACTTGTTGTAATTAAAAAGGGAAGGAGCTAGCTGAGCAATGCATTGGGGCACTAGTTGTAACTGCATAGTCTCAAGTTCGATCCTTTTGTGAGGCTTAAGCAATTTTTATGGGAGCCTCAAAGAATTTTCTTTGATGTTTTCGCTACGCGTGTAAACCTGAATAGATGAAGCAGAGAAATCTATGAAGAAAGAACAATGAAGAAGTAGAGGGTTAAAAAATAGATTTGTTAGAAAATGTGGGATGGTGGATGACTTGCATTCAGTTCTTGGAAAAAAACACCTATGATGAAAATTTCTGCTCCTCAACACGTGCTTTACCCATCGGTAACCTAATTGGCCATTTTCTCTAGCATAGAAGAGAACTTCCATTTAAAATCACTCAGCAAAGTGTTGAACAGTTACACAGCTTTAAGAGGAAAACTTTTTTCAGGAAAGGTTCAAAAGTCTGACGTGAAATGCTAAAAGGTAAGTTCCGGTAGAAAACAATTCTATTGATGGATGAAGATGAAGAGAAGAAAAAACTTTGCTAGAGTATTTGAACTCACATGCAGTTGATCGATTTTTTCACCTGTACGTAGATCACCGGCTCGTAACTCTCGCATTGCTCGCGTTGAGTGTCGATTAAGCTTCTGAGATGTCCAAATATTCTATATTTATTTTTTTAACATTTATTCCAGATGGGTCACGGCATATGCCACGGTACAGTATGCTACGAGGCCTTCAATAATTCTATTATAACCACAATGATGCGGAGACATTTGCAAAACGCCGAACCGCAGGTGTCTGCCGTGGGGATCGAACCCGCTACTACCCTTTTTGGGGTTGACTCGTTTACCACCACACCATGCCGGTCCTTCGTTTCGGCTGCCTCTCAGCTAGTTCTATCGATCTGTACCATCAGCAATTATCCGTCAGCGGGATTTATCTGGGGAACCCAAATCGGAAATGAACCCAGTTAAACTCAGGCTGCACTTATAATCACTGTTTTTAACCTACGATTTACTGCCTACTCTTTTTAATAGTAGGGTATATTGCGAAATATACCCTACTATTAAAAAGTGATGGTGAGATATCTGCAAAACTCCGGGCCGAAAGTGTCTGCGGTGAGAAACGAAAGCGCTACTACCTTTTTCGGGGGCTAACGCGCTTACCACCACACCATGCGGGTCCTTCGTTTCGCCTGCCTCTCAGCTAGTTCTATCGATCCGTACCATCAACAATCACCTGTCAAGTAATTGATCTAGAGAGCACAAATCGGCAACGAACCCAGTTAAGTAGAGGTTGTAGTCGAGATCACAATGTCAAGTTATTATATATTATAACTCCTAATTCTACTATAATTTTCTACTCTTCTGTTTTAATCGAGCAACGCAGTGGTCTTCTATTTTTCTTCTATACTTCTGCCTCTTTTACTTTCGTTCTTGCAATATTTCTAAAAACTAAAATCAATCTGACTTACGCTACTTAACCACATTATGTAGAGATTCTACGACAACCACACGATTCCATCTTTCAACTGCAGTTCAGAGAAAATTTTAGAACAGCAGATCATAGAATTTGGTGTGTTTCATAAACATATGCAATTATATACCTTTTTATTTTCTGCCTACTATAATTTCGCGGCAGGGTACTAAACGAAATACAACCACAACGTTGCTGAGATATT